GAGCCAGACACACAAGGAGGTGCAATTAAAGGTAGGTTTATTATACAAAAACAAGACAGAGTCTATGCAAGTTCAACAGCAACAGCGGATGACTGAGTAGGACAGTAGCCAGGAAGGATGGTCGCCAGAGCCGGGGTCAAGGATCCGGGTATGACCAGAAATGTGTGGGAACACAGGCGTAGTCAGGACTGGAGAGGTGGAATGGTCAGGCAGGCCGTTTGGCACTGTTAAGCACCACCTGGTGGCGTCTCTAGCAGCCCACAGCACGGTGTTCCTCAGGGCGCAGGGTCTAAGTCCCAATCTGCTTATTCACCAGGGCCCCTGATGGTGGGGATGGGCTTGGAGCAGACTGAGACCAGGTCGTGACCCCTGAGTACATCTGGCAATGGTAGAGAGCGTCATCAGAGGTGTGCGGGGAAAGGAGCCTGACGTGAAGAGGCTGGCAGACCTAGTAACAGGGACAGATCCGTGTGGGAGGGATGGATGGATGGATCGTCTGGGTAGCATAAGGTGTAGTCAGGCAGCCCAGGTCATCAAAGTGTGGGCAGCGAGGTACCGGAAGAGCAGGCAGAGAATGGTCAGGGTCACAAGCCGGGTTCAGTAACTCACGGGCAGCGCGGTACAGAGGATCAGGCCGAAGGATGGTCAGGCAAGCCAGAGGTTAAACAGGAGACGGTCAGCAGGGTCAGCAGCAAGACAGATAGGCAGGAACACAGGATACCAGGTACAGGGGCTCATGGGAAACAAACACCAAGGCCCTGATTGCAGGCCTGGTCCTGCTTAAATAGACCTCCTGCAATCAGTCTCAGGTGATGGCTTGATTGCAGGAGTGAGACCCTGGCTGCTGAAAGCACCCTCTGGTAGGAGCTGGTATTGCAGCCCACAGAGCAGGTGAGCCACAGCACCACCAGTGGTGAGTCCATTCCTGACAGCCGGGGTCAGAAGCCAGGAAGGATGGTCGCCAGAGCCGGGGTCAGAAGCCAGGAAGGATCGCCAGAGCCGGGGTCAGAAGCCAGGAAGGATGGTCGCCAGAGCCGGAGTAAAAAGCCAGAAAGGATGGTCTCCAGAGCCGGGGTCAGAGGCCAGGAAGGAGTCTTGCCAAAACCGAGTCGGTATCCAGGAGAGCAATGAGAAACTAACAGGAGCTTGTTGCAGTGCAAAAGACAGGACACAAATGCAATGGACAGCTACAAACAGCAGACTTATATGTGATAAGCCGCCACCTCCTGGGGGAGGAGCCGCAGAGGTCTGAAAGCATAAAGGATCCCACAATGCTTTGCAGACACCTAAGATGGATGGCAGCACATGGAGCAGCACAAGCCCTGAGGAAAGGGCTATCTCTTACCACCGGATCCGGGGAAATAAAGCTCTCCACACAGAAGTGTAAAAGAAGTATTTCTAAAGGTTTGATACAAAACAAGAGAAGATCTACAGAAACACAACAGGCGTTTCTAAATCAGGATAACCAATGAAACATTCTACTCTTCTCAGTATAGTTACGGAAGAACAGAAACTGCAAATGGCTGAGAGGTGCCATATAAAGTGCATCCGCTTACAGAGAAATGAGAGTCATTCCTGAGAAATGAGACTTACTGCCTACATGTAAGCTGTTACATATCTGAAATGGAGGCTGTCATGGACTGCCAGTGCCTTTCCCATCCCCTGCCATATCCCTCCACCCCCCCCCCTTCCCCCTTGCACATTCCAAAGTCTGTGGAGCTTCCATGGACAGGACTGGGCCGGCCGTTGCCGAGACAACCTAGCCACGTCCCACATGGTTTTTGTTAGGAATTCCCCCTTTCCTGGAATCCTTATTTCTTATATGCCGCGCGGCGTCTGGGTGTGGCACGGGCTCGATCGATCGGGCAATCAAAGTAACCAGGCACACAGGTAGGATACAGGAAGATTGCAAAGTTTATTACGTACATTACAGTTTATAAAGGCAAAAATCACAAACCCAAATTATCCAATAGTAAGACAAAACCCCAAAAGTATCCAATAGTAAAGTAAGACCTAACTTATCCAATAGCAATGCGTACCTGTTATTTTTTACCTAGATACTAGACAATGTTCACCTTTACTTAAACTGTTAAACTGTTAACCTCAGTCAGTACAGTGGGGATGGAAAGTTTGGGCACCCCAGCTAAAAATGTGTATTAATGTGCATAAAGAAGCCAAGGAAAGATGGAAAAATCTCCAAAAGGCATCAAATTACAGATTAGACATTCTTATAATATGTCAACAAAAGTTAGATTTTATTTCCATCATTTACACTTTCAAAATAACAGAAAACAAAAAAATGGCGTCTGCAAAAGTTTGGGCCCCCTGCAGAGTTAATATCTTGTACTGCCCCCTTTGGCAAGTATCACAGCTTGTAAACGCTTTTTGTAGCCAGCCAAGAGTCTTTCTGTAAGGGACCGCCCGGCGGTACCACTAGCACTCCACTGAATAGGCGTCCCCAGCGCACGGAGTCTAAGTCCCAGGGTGCTTGTTCACCAGGGCCCCTGATGGTGGGGATGGACTTGGAGCTCCCTGAGACCAGGTCGTGACTACTGGGTGCGTCCGTCAGTGGTAGTAGTATGCGCAAGGGGCTCCCACGGGGAAGAGTCTGATGTGAGGAGGTCAGAAGACCCCACTGCACGGGATGGATGGATGGATGAGCAGGGTCAGACGGGCCGGGTCGGTAACAGAGAGGGCGGCAAGGTACAAGGCAGCGGGCATAGAATGGTCGGGTCACACGCCAGGTCAGCAACAGCAGGTCAAAACCAATAGGGGGCATTCAAGAGAGAGGTCAGGCAAAGCAAGGGTCAGAATAGGAGAAAAACAGCAAGGTCAGGTACAATCCGGGTCAATAACTTACAGGGTACAGGTTCACAGGATTCAGAATGCAGGAAAGACCAGAAGGCACTGAATGACAGCTCAGGGCCATTTAAATATCCCGCCCTGCGCTGCCATTGGTGCCCAGCGGGCGGCCGCGGCTTCTACTGCGCATGCGCGAACTCGAACGCCGCGGCCGGCCCGGACCTAGTGCCCGTGTCCCTGCACAGGGCGGTGCACTGCGCCTGCGCCGGGACCATCGTGGCAGGGATCGAGGAGATCCCTGACACTTTCAGTTCTTGTTTGAGGTATCTTTGCCCATTCTTCCTTACAAAAGTCTTCCAGTTCTTTGAGATTTCTGGGCTGTCTGTCACGCACGGCTCTTTTAAGGTCTGTCCATAGATTTTCAATGATGTTGAGGTCAGGAGATTGTGAAGGCAAAAACCTTCAGTTTACACCTCTTGATGTAATCCCCCGTGGATTTCCAGGTGTGTTTAGGATCATTATCCATTTGTAGAAGCCATCCTCTCTTTAACTTCAGCTTTTTCACAGATGGCATCAAGTTACCATCCAAAATTTGCTGACATTTTATTGAATCCATTTTTCCTTCTACTCGTGAGATGTTCCCTGTGCCACTGGCTGCAACACAACCCCAAAGCATGATTGATCCAACCCCATGCTTACAGTTGGACAGAGGTTCTTTTCATTCAATTCTGTGCCCCTTCTTCTCCAAACGTACCTTTGCTCATTCTGGCCAAAAAGTTCCATTTTAACCTCATCGGTCCACAGAACTTGTTTCCAAAATGCATCAGGCTTGTCTATATGTTCATTTGCAAAGTTCAAACGATGATTTTTGTGGTGAGGACGTAGAAGAGGTTTTCTTCTGATGACTCTTCCATGAAGACCATATTTGTACAAGTATTTCTTTATAGTGGAATAGTGACCACAACTCCAGTGTCTGCCAGATCTTTCTGGAGGGATCGTGCAGTCAAACGTGGGTTTTGAATTGTTTTTCTCACAATCCTGAGAGCTGTTCTGTCTGATATTTTTCTTGGTCTTCCAGATCTTGCTTTAACTTCCACTGTTCCTGATAACTGCCATTTCTTAATTACATTCCGAACAGAGGATATTGACATCTGAAAACGCTTTGCTATCTTCTTATAGCCTTCTCCAGCTTTGTGAGCGTCAACTATTTTCAGTTTCAGTTTTCTAGACAACTGCTTAGAAGAAGCCATGGTGCTGATTGTTGGGGCAAGGTCAGATGAGTCGGGGCATTTAAAACCTTTGAGATTGACATCACCTGGTCTTCCCAGACGATGATTGAGAACAATCCATGACACTGGCAGGTCTCAGCTTGGCAAAGGGGGCAGTGCATGCTATAAATTCTGCAGGGGGCCCAAACTTTTGCAGACGCCATTTTTTGTTTTCTGTTATTTTGAAAGTGTAAATGATGGAAATAAAATCTAACTTTTGTTGACATATTATAAGAATGTCTAATCTGTAATTTGATGTCTTTTGGAGATTTCTCCATCTTTCCTTGGCTTCTTTATGCACATTAATACAAATTTTTAGCTGGGGTGTCCAAACTTTCGATCCCCACTGTACATCCTGCCGTTTTGGCTGTGTTCCCAGACTTCTTATCTGAACATTTATCTATGTTCTACAATGTTTTTGCAGACACCTGCAGTCTAGGCGTTCTTCCTGTTACTCTGCGGTTGTACGTGTGATATACAGACACATATTAAAATTTTCCATAAGCTCGAACATAATGCTGATATTTCTTATAACGTTTACCTAAGACATAATAATTTCATCAACTTAAAACATCACTCTAACTCTTATCAAAATGCAAGCATAATGAACACAAAATGGTATACCTGAAGCATTAGCCCTAGCTCATATTTCCCCACAGTTTTCAAAAGACTCACACAGGAAGCAGCCCCTCCCCTCTCTGTTCCTGTCCATGCTGCTGGAATCATCTTGCTCCCAGAAAGATGCTGGGAGGCTCAGGTGAGGGGGACCGAGCCTCCCCCAGCCATCCCCCCTGTGTACTCTGCAGACCCCCAAAAGGTCAGGACTGTAGCCCTCTACAATACCCCAGGGTTGGGAGTCTCCACAGCTCTGCATGAGCCTTCTCCTCAAAGGTCAGACCCCACAGCTGAGACCCTGCCAGTCTGTAAGCCTGTCTACTGGGCACCCTTGCACCTTGTCTGCTGCTGAGTGCCCTGGGAGCTGCTGCTGAGGGACCCTGCACACTATCCCTGGCTGTGTGTCCCTGGAGGCTGTCTGCTGCTGAGTGCCCTGGGAGTCCTGCTGAGGGACCCTGCACACTGTCTGTGGCTGCGTGTCCCTGGAAGCCGTCCGCTGTTGAGAGTGCCCGGGGAGCTGCTGCTGTCTGCTGATCGCTGGTTGTCCCTGGAATGCTGAACACTGGTCGTCCCTATCTGGAGCTGCCTGCCACTGAGGGTCTGCAAGCTGCTTACCGTGAGTGCCCTGAACTGTCCCTGTTGTGTGCACTGACCACCTGTGTTCTGAACTGTCCCCACTGTGTGTACCGCCCACCCATGTTCTGAACTGTCCCTGCTGTGTGCACCGCCCACCTGTGTTCTGAACTGTCCCCGCTGTGTGCACCGCCAACCCGTGTTCTGAACTGTCCCCGCTGTGTGCACCGCCAACCCGTGTTCTGAACTGTCCCCGCTGTGTGCACCGCCAACCCGTGTTCTGAACTGTCCCCGCTGTGTGCACCGCCAACCCGTGTTTTGAACCTTCCCCGCTGTGTGCATGGACCACCCATGGTCTGAACTGTCCCCGCTGTGTGCACTGACCATCTGTGTCCTGGGCTGGCCTTGTTGTGCACGCAGACCACCTGGGTTATACTGCCCTGCTACATGCCTGGACTACCCTTGCTTGAACCGTCCCGTGGCGTGCCCAGAGTATAGCTACCTGTGGTGCCCCTGAGTGCTTGAGCCATCGCTACCCGTTAAGTCCCCGTGAACCCAATGACCCTAGAAAGCTGGGTGGGAGCTGTGCTGAGGCCGGACTCCACAGCTAGAGTCCCGGTGAGTCCCCAAGACCCCTGCCCAGGGGTAGGTTGCCCGCCTGTTGCCCGAGACTCCAATCCACTGTCCAGTCACGGAGGGAGCTCGGCTGAGTCCCCAAGCCTAGGGGGGAGATTGCCTGCCTGTTGCCCGAGACCCCTGCCCAGGGGTAGGTTGCCCGCCTGTTGCCCGAGACTCCAATCCGCTGTCCAGTCACGGAGGGAGCTCGACTGGGGCCCCAAGCCTAGGGGGGATATTGCCTGCCTTTTGCCTGAGACCCCTGCCCAGGGGTAGGTTGCCCGCCTGTTGCCCGAGACTCCAATCCGCTGTCCAGTCACGAAGGGAGCTCGGTTGAGGCCCCAAGCCTAGAGGGGAGATTGCCTGCCTGTCGCCGAAGACCCCCCCGTGCCTGAAATCGTCCCTGGTTTGCGCACACATCACCCTCCCTGCCATTTCCCCATTGAGTGTCTCTCATTCTGTTGCTTTAATAAAGTTTTGTGTGTTCCCCATCTTCTCTGTGTGCTCTGTCCTGCCTATGCTTCCGTTACAGAGGCATTATACAAAATGGAGGCCAGTTTAAAGACATATCTCCTTAAACGAGGGGCCACATTTAGTGATCATATTCAGGGTCACCCCGAGGATGGCAGACTGTATTGTTGTTGAAAAGCATAAATCACATTATATTCTCTTAGATATGCCTGGCCATGGCAGCAGCAAACATGACCATATGATGAATCGGGTCTGTGGACCAACATGACTGCATGTCAGAGCCTGGGTCTGAACCTGGGCCTTCTGCAGTGAGTGGCAATGTTTCTTCTTGCTGAGCCACCTGGAATGCTAGACAGCTTCCTTGACAATTATTTGGATGATCCTACCTTGACCTTGTTTATCATGAACCTTGAACCCCTTGCTCCTCCCATGAACTTCCTGATATAAGCCATGTCTCTGCACTTCCTGTTTGCCAGATTATTGTGCTCTCCAGCCAGTATCGTGCTCCTTATCTTCTCTGTTATCCATATTTTGCTATCACTCATTATTGACCCTTGGCTTGTTCTCGACTACGCTTCTGCCTGATCCCAACCTGCGACTGCTTCTTACTGACTTTGGCTTGTTCTCGACTACGCTTCTGCCTGATCCCAACCTGCGACTGCTTCTTACTGACTTTGGCTTGTTTACTGACTACGCTTCTGCCTGATCCCAACCTGCGACTGCTTCTTACTGACTTTGGCTTGTTCTTGACTACGCTTCTGCCTGATCCCAACCTGCGACTGCTCCTTACTGTCTTTGGCTTGTTTACTGACCACGCTTCCGGTTGGTCCTTACCTGCTTAGATGTTACTGGACCTCCGCTTGCTCACCTCCTGGTGGGGTGATCCTGAGGACCGCGACCTGGTACTAACATGCAGCCAGTTCACCATCAGAGCTCTGGTGAACACCGGTTGGTACTTAGACTCCGCACCTCAAGTGATCCCATTCCTCCGCCACTGTGACCTGCCTGTGTACCTATCCTGCTGGTTTCAGCTGAGCCTTTCCACTGCTATAGCAACTGGTCTTTGAGCCTGACCCCTGACCTTGACACCTTGGTAAATGATTTATTTTAGTATTTATTTTAGTAATGTCCATCTTGAGGGTTAGGCCTAAATAAATTGTAAGCTTGGAAACCATAATAGATTTTCATACAAATCGTCTGGCAAGCTTTGAATTTGAGTCGGTAGTGATGTACTGGTCAGCATATAAATTTCTTTGGTCCACAATTCATCCATACAGATTTTCTGGGAATAAAGCTCCAAAAATCAAGGGGAGAAGTTACATTTGCTGTTTCTACCTGAATTCCGGGTTGGGCAGTGAATGGGAGAAGTACGGGTGCTGCAGAATCTGTGGGCTGCCAATCAGGATTTGCAAGCACATCCGGAAGGACACTATGGTCTCTATGGGCCTGTGTGCAAATTCTTGGTGGCTGCTGGGCAATACACCAGCTTGCACTGTGCTTATGGGACTCACCATGTCACCAAGTAATGCAGTGCTGGTATATATAAGACCAGGATGCACTAGGCCGCTGGTGCTTGCCAGTCCACCAAAAGTAGAGTAGCACACTAGTACTTGCTCCCTTCTACATATGAGAGTCATCATGCAACTTCAACACCTCAGCAACCATGGAACGGGTTGGGTATACCTGACCTTAGCAGGGACCTCTACTCCATCATCTGAGCTATCAGGGTGCCGCTACTTTCTACAGGTTCATATTCTGAGGTGGAGTGAGTGAGGCTTCCCCTTTGTGCTCACCTGACATGCTCAGAATCCTGTAGGCCTCTTCACTAGAGTACCTTTCTTTGGATATTTTTTGCCACTAAATGTATAGGTACCTAGTGTGACTCACGGGAAAAAGAGCACATGTTTGTCGGGACTGCTTGAACCAATACAAATAATATTTACCTGCCAGTGCTAGTAGAGATCAGGCCTGATATTGCTAACGCTGCAGTTTTTTTGTAATTTAAGTGACAGTGCATCTGTGTGTTCCTGGCAATCAAAGGGTTAAATGTGATGGTGATAGTGTGATGGGCAATCTGATGCTATCTGGGAAGGACACGAGCTAATGCTATCAGCAGAGACGATTGGGTCAGTTCCTGTGTCTGTGTTCTGTAGACACCGGCACAGGATGAGCTCTGATTGGTTACAACCAATCAGCAGGTCCAGGCCACACATCATTGTCCTGGATCTGGTGACTGATCAGTGCTGTACTGAATCACAGCACCGCTGGCCTGGGAACACGCAGGGAGCACGGATCACGTGTATATTTAGTTGTGTTGAAAATACTAGCAGTCAGACATCACTAACCGGATCAATCACTGTTTTTGGTGGAAATGTTATTTCTACATGGCAAATAATTTCCTAGCAGGTGTAGTAGAGTCATAGAAATCCAACAGACCCAACAGTCATGACATGCATGCTGCTGATTCTGTGTCATTGAATCACTTATTGAAAGGCGTGTTGAAAATAATAGCCGTGTGGAGTTCTATTAGTGAGGTCATTCATTCTGTGATAAACAGGTGGCAATTATTGCCCTTATTTAAGGAAGGAAGGCAGCAAATGTTGGACATGCTGGTTACAGTGCATTTCTCTCTGAAATTCTGAGGAAAATGGGTCATTCCAGACATTGTTCAGAAGAACAGCGTACCTTGATTAAAAAGTTGATTGGAGGGGAAAACATATAAAGAAGTGCGGAAAATGATTGGCTGCTCAGCTAAAATGATGGCAAATGCTTTAAAATGGCAACCAAAACCTGAAAGACGCGGAAGAAAGTGAAAAACTACCATTGGAATGGATAGAAGAATGGCCAAAATGGGGCGGACTCAGCCAACAATCAGCTCCAGGAAGATGAAAGAAGGTGTGACGTTCCCTGTGAGGACTCAGCCAACAATCAGCTCCAGGAAGATGAAAGAAGGTGTGACGTTCCCTGTGATGACTGTTACAATTAGAAGACGCCGATGTGAAGCCAAGCTATCTGCAAGAAGTCCCCGCAAAGTCCCACTGTTGGGAAAAAGACGTGTGCTGAAGAGGTTACAATCTGCCAAAGAGCACATTGACTGGCCTAAAGAGAAATGACGCAACATTTTGTGGACTGATGGAAAGTAAGATTGTTCTTTTTGGGTCTAGTGGGCGGAGACAGTTTGTCAGACGACCCCAAACAATGAATTCAAGCATCATGATATGGGGATGTTTCTCATACTACGGTGTTGGGCCTATTTATCGCATACCAGGGATCATGGATCAGTTTGAATCCATCAGAATACTTGAAGAGGTCATGCTGCCTTATGCTGAAGAGGAAATGCCCTTGAAATGGGTGTTCCCAACAAGACAACGACCCCAAACACACCAGTAAACGTGCAACATCTCGGTTCCAGACCAACAAGATGGACGTTATGGAGTGGCCAGCCCAATCCCCGATCTTCATCCAATAGAAAACTTGTGGGGTGACATCAAAAATGCCGTTTCTGAGGCCAAACCAAGAAATAGAGAAGAACTGTGGAATGTGGTCCAATCATCCTGGGCTGGAATACCTGATCACAGGGGCCAGAAGTTGGGGGACTCCATGCAACACAGATGTACAGCAGTTCTCAGAAACAGTGCGACCACAACCAAATATTCATGAAGTCATTCAAAGGAAAGCAAAATCTTCAAACATTTCTCAGTTTATATAGTGAATGTTGGAGTTTGTAAAGAAGAATACAAACACGGCCATTTTTTTGAACCGTCTAATATTCACTTTTCTTCCATTTTTTTAGAGGAACAACACAAATTTGATGTATTTTTCTTCATGTTGTGATTTGGAATAGAATGTGTCGTGTTCCCAATGCATTTGTGTGGATGGAAATAAAAGGATTAGAAGGATTTGCAGCTTCAGTCACTTTTATCATCACACTGATATTATTTTCAACACAACTGTAACTATTCTACATTCCCGCTCACACTCTGTTACAGTGGCTCAGTGGTTAGCACTCAGGGCTTGCAGCACTTGGGTGATGGGTTCTAATCCCGGTCATGGCCACACCTGGGAGTTTGCATGTTTCTCTGCACGGGTGTGTTTTCTGCCAACACTCCAAAGACACGCTGTTAGGTGAGATGGGCCTCGTATATGTCTGAGTTTCTGGTCTTAGATTGTAAGCTCCTCGACATTACAGACTATTGTGAATGGAGAAAATATGGAGGTCAATTTCCAGGGTTGTCAGTCGGGAATATTGATCAATCAATGAAGATTTTGTCTACTGACTAGAAAAGTGGAAAGGGAGTGAACCTTACCTGCGTCCTGTTCTTGGCTAGAGTGACCTTTTCATTTGTGACCATTTCTGGAGTTGAAGTAATCATTCTTGGAGCAATTCCTGTG